CGTTGTGTTCACTCCCAGGGGAACTACTTCGAGGGTGACGGATGAATTTAATTTTATAGGCGCAGTCTAGAAACTTTCCGATCGCACCTCGTATACTGACTTAGCATGATGAATGGCACAGTTTTATAATACTGAGAAAGGAACGTGCATATCAAATATTCAATTAAATGTACGAACACGAGAAACCATATCCGTATTTAAAAAATTCAGACGTGGGTGAGGTGTACAATATGTTCGTATGTGTAAAAGTGGCGTTTCGTATCCTGTTTGATAAGGTTCAGAGCACGCAACCGCTGCTCAAATAGGACACGAGCATTAAGTCACTTTTGCATGTTGCACACCCACCTCGGGAATTTACAATTTTTAGATCATTTAAGATAATATTTGTCCGATATAAAATGAGATGAAATTCGCCCAACTTCCAGTGTAGACCCCCCGAATATAAAATTTTATAAATTTGAATCACGCGGCACACGCCGAGGACACGACCTCCATATTGATAATTGATTTTATGAACTTGTAGTGGAGGGGAGACTTGTTCGCTTGACGTTGTGAGGTTAGGTTACAGCAGTATTTCTTTTGATTTCAGGTCCGCCTGGTCCACCAGGAAAACGAGGGAAAAAGGGGAAAAAGGGAGATGCTGGGGAACCAGGAACCGTGGTAAGGACAATGTGATGTGCTCTGAGTTATCCTGATTCTACCTTTTGTTTTATTGGAACGCATTTTTGTTGGAACTTATAAGTTCGCGATGAAACCTCATAAACGAGAAGAATTATTTCTGTAGCCCAATACTGAGTTTTGTTTTTTTTGCTCTTTTCAGGGTCCCATTGGTCCACCGGGGAAGAACGGTTTTCCGGTATCTTATTTTATAACCTAATTATCCCTAAAGTCATAAACACTTAGTATAAAAATAAGTTTTAGACAACTTAGTAGTATTTTCATACAACATTACCAAGTCAAATTTTGAAATAATTGTTGTGTATAAAATGGCTTCCAAATATTAGGCTGCAGTTCAGTAATGTTACTTAAAGAGCGCTGTGTTGCATACGGCGACGAGAGTCGACGATGTTCACTTTGTGGGTTGCTGGAAATTTTGTGGTTCAGGGAAGACGTAGTGACAGCTTATTACAGCAGGAAAGGACATCCCTCAGTCCCAAATAAACAATTTTCTGTGTGAATCCTCATTTCTCAGAAATCTAGAAGACATGTAAACATTCCGTAGAAGTGTCTGCGAGGACTAAGTTTGCGACTGAGATTGCAATAAACGTGTTAGTAGACTGAAGCTTTCACTTAAATTTTAGAAAGTATAAATATTATAATATTTCAAACTGTCAGAAATATCAAATTAGATTTATGATGAGAAGAAGAATATTTTTCAGACAATGATCTCACACTTTATCTAGCTGTGAAGCCCCAAAATATGTTTCCGAGCCATTACTGTTTCAAAAATGTGAATGGTCACTAATTCAGGAATACTCTTAATCAGGCTCTTGAAATTAAATTACATATTGTGAACTGCACTGAATTTCATCTTTAAATTTTTCTTTTGAACCCATCAATTAATTATTTCACTTACAAGGTCAAGGCACAAATTGTTATGCAGTGACCGACAGGTTTCCTACTCATGAAGAAATTGCCATCACCTCTACTGCAAAAGCCTATCATCAGATTCTGTCTTAATCAACTTGAATGCACTTCACATATTCACAATCTATTTCTCGTACGTGACTTTCAACGTAATGAAATTTCTTTATCATTATTAGTGTCCCAAAAGACTCTTCCTAAAAAGTTTTCTAACCTAAAAAGTTTTCTAACCTAAAAACTTTTCTAACCTAAAAAGTTATCTAACCTAAAATCACTGTACGTCCGTTGTTTTAGAGGTGTCATGTATAGAATGCCTTCAGTGTTCTGCTTCTCCCCCAATTTGTGATAGGCCGTTCATTGTTTCCCTCCTCCTCAAACTGAATTTTCAATACTTTCTTCGCATCTCCTGACACTGACACAGAAACTTCTGAAAATGCGTTCGAATGTACGTAGGTTAAGTAACAAAGTTCAGAACTTGCATCTTGTATTGTGCGATGGTTAAACATCCATTTTCATGTTGTTTTTAGGTCTTCTGTTGTTCATTTACTGAACACTTGGTAGATGTTGGTCTCGTTGTGGAAGATGCTGATACCAATGGCAGTTTAGATTCAAACTGATCTTCCTATATCATAGTAGTTGTTGTGTTAATCATTATCTTCCAAACCACTTCGGTACAAACCAACATCGTGTCTCCTTGAAGACCTCTTGCCTCTTATTTCAATTTTCTTCTTGGCTGCTTTCGCCTCTTGGTATGAATTCAGTTTGCAGACGTTTGTGTGGCATTCCCCAACCGCAGGCAGGCCATAACCCATGTCTTTTTCAGTGTGTCATATCACTGCCTTGTTCCTCTTTTGATTTGTGAAAACTGGAAAGTCCTTTTTTATCCTTTCCTTCTTAAAAACAACTGCAGCTTCTTCTCTGGTTCTAATGAAGAGGTGTAAGTCATCAAGTGTTTCTTTTGCCTGTGGTCGCCATTTTATGAATCAACTCCTGTTCATTCGTCTCATTCTTTTTGGCAGAAAATAATCACCGAGCACTGCTAAAGCAGCTTCTTATGGGTTGGGATCTTCAGTGCTGTCTCTTGTCCTGTCCTTGCTGTTGTCTCATCTTCCACTGCATCACCAATACTTACCACTGCCTCTCCCCCCACAAGGGCTTAACAGATGTCTTGAACTTGCGGAAATGCTTTATCAGTAGAAGCCGGGAGAGCCAGACAGGATCGGTACTTCTGTTCGACAAGACACATCTGAAATGATATTCCCATTCCTTCGAGTGAGGACCCACAAATTAAGGCTCTTTCTTAACATAAAATAATGTAAACGCACTGTTCTCCATAACTCCTTTATTGTGAATGCCTGATTCTGCATTATCACTTTGCCTAATGGGTTATGATGCCACAAAATGAACCATCCTTACCACCAGTACGTTTTCTCATGTTCGTAACAGCGCGTTCTGAGGAACTGTTTTACGTAAATGTTATAATTTATAAACCGTCTTTACTCTGCTCTGTCTTTTTAAAATTTGTAACCAAATTTGTCATAACGTTCAGTGCAGCCAACACAACATTATACACTTCACCGAGGTAATGGGACTTTGGGCAGTCTTGAGATTAAATTCTCATTATCTTTACATGAAAATCTTGTCATGTTTGATCATTATAGAAATCTAAAATCAAAACTCGAAACAACCATCCCTTTAAAACAGACTGTACTATGAGTAAAAATAAAAAGTAAAGCTGTCCTGCTACACGCCATGTAGGTGCTTGGGGGAAGAGACAGTATAGCTCTTACTGATTCTTCACCACAGCACTAGATGGGGCGAGTGGTCAGCGTCACCCCCCCCGGCCACGGTTTACCATGGACAGGAGGCTGGGTGGGCCCCAGAGCTGGTCTGAAATTTTACACCTCACATTTTATCAAAATCTCACAAAACTGTCTTATTCTTCTTGTGACAACTGTCGTTAGTTCAGATCTCGACAGTTGAAACTAGGTGTTTAAAATTCATGTAAAATATATTAGTAAACACTTTCAATATTTATATTTTTTCTTGTAATAAATTCTTACTTTAAGAGTAGACCTAATGTAGTTTTAGACACATTGCTAGTTACAATAGGAGTTTAATCATAAATATGATACTCGTATATGTCTTTGTATTGCAACTAATATATTCAGATTATTTTCAGATGCTACGCCATTACTATTATTATTATCATCACAGATTCTACGTCTCTTTCATGCTCATTATTATTATTAGTTTGCTGTGTTTCCAGGGACTGAAGGGTCATAAAGGCGACAGAGGGATTATGGTAAGATCTTTTAAGTAAATTGTGTCAATTGTATCACGTTAGCGGCATCTGCTGATTCATTTAAGACTGAATTCAGATTAATCAGTTTCGCAGGCCTGATAAATACATTTTACAAATTTAAACAACTATTTTAAAATACACACAGCTTCACTTGTGAATCTGAGATTGATTGAATATTAATGGATCTGTCCACTTGTCACTAGTGTGATGATTACCGTAATATTTGTTGGAAGATGCATAAATATTACCATGCAAATTAATGTTCCAGGTTTACTCAAGACATATGATAGACCTGGGTAGCTATCAAATTAGAAAAAGTTCATTCTCTCTTTTCCCCACACTTTTAGCTATCTGCGCATATTATTTCGTCTCACACTTGAGCTCATATACATCCAGTTCACTTATGGAAGTTTCTTTATAGATATGTAGGCCCAGAGAATTTTGAGACATTTACCCACGACAGACTTTTACTAGACAATGAATAATTCAAATAAAACCTTTCTTTAGAAAAAAAAATCATACATCAATTATTTATAAAATGAAATAAAAGTCTGTTACAAGGTAACATTTTGGGTTGTGTACAAATTGTACAAGAAAGTTCCATTAAGTTATCCCTTTAAGCCTGCCATATATTTAAGCTGAATGTTTTTGAAGTCACAGTATGTAAAAAAAAATTTAAAAAAAGTATATCACACATTTTTTTTATTTATTTAGTGTTCTGTCTGACGACAGGTCCATATGAACAGGATCCTTCCATCCTTTTCTCGGACTGGGACCTGTTCATATACGTTCTTGGCAGATGATCCAGAAGTGGTTTGCCATTGCCTTCTTCTGTGTGTGAATGGAGTAATTGTTGGGATGCCACGGAGGAAAACTCCGTGTTGCCTAGACCACGGCCTTGCCCAACACAAGTTATAAATTCGGGCACCGCCGGGAATCGAACCCGAGACCCCAGGATTACAAGGCTAGTGTTCTGACCGCTAGACCACCGTGGCGGTCATATCACACATACAGAACATAAAGTCCTGTTACCCCTGCATAAAACATCGTAGGAGTTAATGTACCAGCTGTATCAGTGTAAATTCCGTAGATCAGAATAATTCGTCATAATTTCTGATGTGCGAAAGTCATCACAAATTTTAGGAATCGTCTTCCCTGTGATTGTTTTTGAGGTTATCACAGTGGTGAGTACAAAGATGGCTCTCTTTTGGGTTGTAGTACTGTGTAGTATGGTAGATAATTCACTACATGATGCTACAAAGCACAAGACAGCAGCCATCATGAGTAAATATACTAATTAAGCATTAATATTTGTTAGTACTTATTGCTGTTCATTTTTCAATCATATATTATTATTTTCTTCTGTACAGAACGACACTTTCATGCCTGTGATACAGACACACACAAAGAAAGAAAGAAAATAATATAAAAACAAAATTTGGACAATTAGACAAAAGTTAAGAGACATGATTGGGACGATGTATATTCTTCTTGTTCTTCTATGGCTCTCCGATCCGCGTTCGGTCCGTGGCCTCCTCAATTCTCCTCTTCCATTCGGTCCTCTGTTAGGTCCGTCTGTCCGAGGCTTTGATTGAGGTTTCGAAACATCTTACTTTTTACGTTGCAAGGTTGTTGGCCTTGCGACCAACCCCCAACCTGGAGGACCAGGGTAGCCATAGAAGGAGAAGAAGAAGTAATATACATTGTCCTAACTTTGTCTTACTATTTTTTATTAATTTGACATGTGTTCATGTCTAAGCTTTAATGACATCAGAGTGCCAGCAATCCAAGCAGTGACGTATTAAGTAATTGAATTGGCATATAAGATAAATATTACAGTTATTCTCGATGTAAAGGTTATACTTTGAACACTGAATTGGACATCCATATTCCGCTGCAACATGAATTTGCATTCACAATTTGTATAGCGGAAATAATGAATAGGTGAAACGCGTTCACATTTATAAGATAGTGTAATTGCGTCATATTGTGAATTTTCTAACAATTATTTATTTTAATCCGTCTTATGACAATATTTAAAATTTCTTATAATTAAGATAATAAAATATCATTGATGTTCTACAGACCGATATGTACATCTGAAAAATTTAAGAAAAGACAACACCTCGCCCAAAATTGAAAAACAAATGGCATGAAACATCACCAAATGGAATCATATTTGAGTTTTAAGTTCGTAAATATTTTACACCTGATGATGGTTTTATAAAAACTGAAACATGTTGTGTAAAGGATGTTCCAAAATGTAAATCGATCAATCGATATGGAACATCAATGATATTTTATTATCTTAATTATAAGAAATTTTAAATATTGTGATAAGACCGATTAAAATAAATAATTGTTAGAAAATTCACATTTAATCTATGATTTAGGAAAATAATTTTTATCGGGCTTAGTACTGAATATTAACATATTATGATACACATACATGTAAGAAACAGCATTATTCTAAATAACAAAAAAAAAATCACTGTTTCATCATTATCTTGGTATATCTCAAACCATCACGGTATCAATATTCCTTACGTGAGTACTAATTCACAAGTGAAGCTCGTCTGTATTCATTCTTTCTAGTTCAGAGGAAACAATATGAAAACAGCAGTGGCCTCCAGAAATTAATAATGTTTGCATAACACACGTAACACACCGTTCATGGTCGTGAATTGTAAATGCATGAGTTTATGCTTGATAACAGCAGCTTCATTATGAAACTAATCATGTTCAATGCCTGGAAGGTAGGCTCTACTTTGGTGTATGTAAATTAATTATTCTTCTGTTCCAGGGACTGGGTGGACTCCGGGGCTACCCGGGCTTTCCGGTTGGTTTCCATTTTATAATACAAAGAATCTTATATGCGATTATGATATATTTTAATTCGTACACAACAATAATTGAAATGCTGTTGTTATACCAAAGGGAACTAGATATCTCTGTGGGTTTAGAATGAACTTTCACTGAAGTACGAAGTGGCTGCCACATGAGCGTACTACGATAGACTTTTTTATATAACATAATGATCAGAAAATTAGGCAGTAAAGTAGATAACTGAAAAAAAAAACCTTACACAATTTTATACGACGGATAATTTATATGCTCGTTTCAATTTGAAGCACATTGAAGAAAATGATACTCTTGAAGTTCTGTCGAATTACGCATATTTATCTTAAATGTTGAGTCGAGCATGTTAATTTGAATGGTTCAATCTGGAAGCTTAAGTAATACAGAAGAATCTGGTCTCAGTGTCGCTTTGCAGCCACAACTCATCTTGTATGTCAACGCTGCAGGCTGTATTATAGCCCAGGCAAGTTAGTCACCAGCTTCTCACTGTGAAGGCCCGGGTTCGCACCCAGGCCAGTCCATGTGGGATTTGTGGTGGATGAAGTGGTACTAAGACAGGTTTATCTCCCAGTCCCTGCCAGTTTCATTCATGTATCGTCTGGGAGATGCACGATGGCCCCGTTCGTGGCCAATTTCACCCGAGACGTAGTCTCACCCCATTGCAATGGCAACACTGAGTGTACCTATCTGAAATCTAAACACATATTTTAAGTGGAGATAGGATTCTCTCTCTCGGTTAGCCTATTGTAGCCGTGTGGAGGTAAAGTACTGAAATCTGTTAAAAACTGTTAACTGACGTTGAGGTTTTCACGGTGGTGAAAATGTGGATTGTGGTCTTCAACGTTGTGGTTTCCGTAAGTCTTACAGGTGCTTATAAACGTTTTGGAGCAACATATCATCTTCATGTTCAGGATATGTTCCTGTGAAATATTGGTAAGTACATTTATGACGACGAAACACAACCGTGAAGACCAAAATCCAACATTTTTGCTTGTTTCAATAAAAAAACTGCAAAAAATCTTAAGAGAACAGAAACAATGCGAACATTTAATAGAAGAGGAAGGAGATAATTGTTTTATTTCTTACTATGAATTATCATGATAAAATAAACTGCTTTAAGTCTAATTTAGATGAAATAAGAGAACTTGTTCCTCAGATAAATTATACATGATGATCAAACATGGCCTTGAGTCTGTCTAATGCTTTCTGTTTTCTCTCTGTGTTTCTAGCACGACGTCCTTCCTATTTTCAGGGACTGGGTACTCCTATTCGCTGTGCTGTTTGTGATTGTAGTGTAACGAGGATTTTGTATGCCAACTGATTGTAACTGCATACTAACAACTAACTATTATTATTTAAAAGTAACACCTAATATTTGGAAGCATATTCATTTGTGGGCAGTAGTTTCTAATTAACCTGTAGAAACTTTGTGTAACTTGCTTTATTTTTATTTTGTGTATTTCTCTTAGTGTCAGTATTTTACAGTTCATTGAAAGGTCTAGTTAAATATAAATAAAAATTTTATTACAAATATTTCAAAACTAAATACTAAGGGCTATCAAAGAATTATTCTGAGAAAGCCTGTTCTTAAACTTTTTTAAAGAAGTTTGTTTATAAAAATCAGTATCCACAACTATTTCTAATTATGAAAACAGTTTGAAAACTTATTGTGTATAAAATTTTCTTGGATATTATCCATCGTCTAGTCAATAAAATATATTTTCTTGGATATTATCCATCGTCTAGTCAATAAAATATATTTTCTTGGATATTATCCATCGTCTAGTCAATAAAATATATTTTCTTGGATATTATCCATCGTCTACATCGTCTAGTCATCGTCTAGTCAATAAAATATATTTTCTTGGATATTATCCATCGTCTAGTCAATAAAATATATTTTCTTGGATATTATCCATCGTCTAGTCAATAAAATATATTTTCTTGGATATTATCCATCGTCTAGTCAATAAAATATATTTTCTTGGATATTATCCATCGTCTAGTCAATAAAATATATTTTATTGACTAGACGATGGATAATATCCAAGAAAATTTTTGTTCAAATGACTCTACATTTTGTCTAAATTACTGAAAAAGTTCTTGGATGAGAGATACCAAGCGTGGGTGCTAACACATCTTCCACAGATGACATCCTTCTAAGACTAGACCTTTCAATCAGTGCTGAATCATTCTAAGGTGTTTTTCTGTTCATTTATTCTAATATTGCTTGTGCTGCTTAATACAATGTAAAGTTTACTTCCAGTATTTAACATGGGTTGTATTCTTTAGTCTTGGCTAGACCACAGTGCATTGCTGTAACTGTGGACTCAGTGGTGTACCTAGAATAAATTGTTTGGTGAGAAGGGTAATGTATTTAGCAGCATTAAGCTGCCTTCAGATAAACCAGCGCTTCATTAGAGAAGCAGTTTAAGGCCGTAACCCTACCCCTTGCTGGTTATGCCACTGAAAATGATTAATTAAGATTTGAATTGCATAACTGACCACAGTTTCAGAAACTCACAAAATACAAAATGAAATATCTGGTGTCATGAAGTACCTAGAACCATACTGTAGTCTCAGTTACTCCATACGAAGCCGTATTATAAATAATTACCGTATACTCTATTTGAGCGGTGCGTGTTGTACCATTTCCGAAAAGCGGATAAATATTCAGCGAAGGGATTTGACTTATGATCTGTTCGAAATTAGAGCATAAACTTAATATCTATAGTGTATCGATTGTTTTCAATAGACTACTGATCTGATAGCGACAATATTATAATCGGCAGCGGAAATAGGTTTTAGAATTAGTAGGTGGCAGATCAATAGGTGACACATCCTTCAGGTATCTCTGTTGAGAACTACTGTTATGACATGTTAAGGCAATGTAAGTGTCTTCTTTAGAAAGAGCTCGAAAACTGAACAGATAGCATCTGCCTGCACCTAAATTCATTTCCAGTTTTGATTACAGTACAAAGAATGTTAGTACAGAAAAATTAACATTTGCCCAATTTATTTAGGAGCTCTCAGAGCATATTGGACTCGCCATATACATTACGAGACTTCGTATGACTAAGTGGGGAGGTTCTTAACGTTGGTGAGCAGAATGCTTATATTCTAAACAAATAAATGTTCGTTTCGAAGGAAATATAAAACTACATTATTATATAAAATTTATTTATGTTACAACCTAAGGCAGAAAGAAATAGGACAAGACAACAGCCCCAATGCTCAGTAGTCTATTTTTAATTCTGGATTAATTACACACTGCAGTCATATACCCTACATTCTGTCATTATATCTGCTTCTGCTAACACAGCAAAGTGTTATTCGTAAGTAAAGCATTGTTCAGTGAGTGTTCATGTTTTATACGAGGCTCGTCCACAAAGTAAG